ATTCACGCTGTGATGGTCTAAAAGGCTCGGGTACCCCACAAAGTGAAACGGAAAGAGCCTTGCCACAGGGGGTATGTGACAATTCCAGAGGGTAAATTGCCATTTTGTTGTTGCTATTCAGTTTCCTGGCAAGGAGAAGGGGAGGATGGACCGTGAAACTAGGAACGAATTGGTAAATAGTGCCACTTAGCATGGCATATGGCGAGTTTGGAGAGCTGAACGCTGACACCAACAAATTGACAATTTCATACCAATTTCAGAGTAACATTCGCCACACACGTTGTCACGCAGAATTCTTCTTATCCATCCACTAAGGAGAAGTTAAAGATTTGTGTCTCCTGATAAATTGTTGCCTGTGTGTCATTAAAATATTTATATTAAAAGGCGATACAAATCTTAAAGTTAGCCTTTTTTTTTTAAACAGTCAGAAGCGTATATTATTATTATAAAATGACGAGACGTTTACACATTTCTACAACATTTTTATATTCTATAACGTCTTAAATATCTTTATTTTATATAAGTATTTAGTTAAACTCGATGAAGGCAGCATTTCTGGTGAGGGGACACATAGCCTACTTCAGTTTTACAAAATATGGAGCGAGGAAAATCGGAGGAACGCCCCATGGCTTTTCACTTGTACCTTTCAATTTTCCACTTTGGTCAGATAAAGGGAAAAACCCTGGGAAAAAAGTTGGCCAGCAACTGGTCCTTGTTTTTGCGCTGAAAGCAAAAACAAAACGCACTTTAGGTTGAGGCCCTTTGCGTTTGGTGGCCACATGGGACCCTTTTAATGACTTATTTTGAATGCACAGACTACAGGACTCTCGCCCTTCAGGGATGCTGAGCGAGCTGGCCTCCTATTTCCCTAAACTTTTTTCCGATTTCTACTTTAATTATAATTATGGAGAAAAGTTTGACAATTAATGTAAAATGCTTATATTGTTGGTCCTTGTTGCAATATACTTTTGTCGGGGGGACATTATACCACAATACAAGTAGACTATAGTCAATGACTAAATGAATTCATGTTTGAGTGGATTTGAATATCCACTCATTGTCGGTTCCCTTTCAGCAATGACAATTAGTTCGAGTTAATTTTTAGTCCTGTGCTATTGTTCAAAACCAACAGTGGCTTTGATCTGAGATTGACTTACTGCGATGGATGGATCCCACTCCCACCAATAAGACTATGTGCACTTAATCGTCATAAATCCATCAGATGGAAACTAAAATGCCGGGAAGTGGACTATAATAGTTTATAACAAAAACATTATTACTTCAAGGAAGATGAAAGTGTTGAAACATCAGGAGTAGGCTAATAGTCAGCTATTGGGTAATGTGGCAATACAGAGAAAATGCTAAATAATGTCCTCTTACGTTTGTTTTTAATACGCGTTTAATCTCACACCAAACGCTTAACTTCCACGTTGGTCATATTATGCCTGGTCACTGTTGTTTTACGCACGGCTAAATACAGTGCGCTAAAGGGTGCTTGGTTATTCTCATTCAAATCTTTCTCAAGTGGTTCAGAGTAAATGGCAGATGCTTTGCAATTCAAGGCGTATCAATACCCATGCGCTTTAGTCTATAACAATGGAGCTCCCCTTTTGTTAGGCACTTGTGTCTTTCTGTTCAGAGCTCGACAAAGGCTTCATCCTCCAGCGAGTTATAAAGTTACTTTCCAGTCAGTTCATTTCGGTCCTTGAGAAAACCTTAAGCGATGTTAATGTGTACCTCTGGTCTTTTCATGCGGTAACCCCGGCACACAGGCAAACAGCGGCTATTGTGTCCCCAAACCAAAGTAAGAAGTCTTTAAATAACCCTTGGACCAGTCTATAGAAATTCATGACGCTATTTCTATTTGATGTCTGATCAGAGCTTCGTCGACATGTCCGTCGCGTGGCTTTTCAGAACATCCTGTTTGTACATCTCAAATATTTTTCCAGTGCACCTGTTCATGTACCTGCTACTCTTAGCATGAATGTGTTACTCACAATAAGCAGTTTGGTCACACCACTGCTGCCTCGGGTCCATCTGAAAGGAAAGCGGTTCATCGATTTGCTTCGCTCACGGTGCACCAAATTATGGGGCCTGCATAATTTAACAGCCCTTCTGTGACATACGTAGCAGTAGCATAACCTATAAATACATTCCCTTAGACGAAATTCATTACTTTATGTGTCTAAACTATGTGCTCCGAAATACATTGACATACAGAGCCAACAATAACATTAAAAAAAAGTTAGGTAATGTCTTATAATATGATAATGTTAATGTAGGCCTATATTATTTAAAAGACAACATGGTAAGTTTACTCTTAGATGACCATGCATCTTGCTAAAACATAGTATTATTTGTTATCTCTCGATATTCGTTAACATATTTATAATAGTGGTTTTGTCTTTAGAAGTAGCCTAAATGGCAGATGTAGATCCTCTGCATTTCTATTATGCCGTTAGGGTATAGGCCTAACCATTGGCTTGCAAATGCCTCAGTTTCCCTCTAGGAAGAAAATTGTTTATTGCAGTAATTGCATAATTGGTTCACTAATTGTTGTTAACAAGTTCCCCAATAGTCCAATTATTACAGCAGCATTGTCAGGTCGCCGCCGGCAGACATCCATGACAAAGGTCCGATGGGGTTAATGAATGACCTGGGGCTGAAAAGTGAAAGTGGAAGAGAGCCCGAGGCCTTTTTATAAACATACACTTAACTTGTAATTTAATGGCACCTGCATTATAACTTTCCCTTGCGACACAAGCTTCTCGTTGCGCTATTCTTATGGACATATAATGACATAACGACTTTTGAGAGAAGTGAGGTGGTTTTGGAGGGAAACAGTTTTAAAGCCTGCATTCCTTCACATGTAGAGCGCCAACACTAATCGAAATTATACCGAATAATCAGCGGTGAAATCTGCACACTGTGGCACAGAATAACAAGAAAAGGGACTGCTGAGATGCCACGTCTCCATGCTAAAATCAACGCTCCACGCTCTTGTGTTAAAACCAAGCGTGAAAGCGCAGATAATGTGGCGTCCAGAGGACAAAAGACACCAGAAAGCTCACTTACACCAAATTTCATACCGATTAAATGCTTCAATATATAACACCACAGTTGTGGCCCACAATTTTTCGGTGAATTTTACGCAATTAGTGTCTTTCGACACACGTCTGACATGCCTGTAGTCTTTTTGAATTAACATGGCTTTAACATGACAGTCCTAAATGCATCTATTTTAGAACTACGCATTTCATTCAATATTCACATCTTACTACTGAGCTTTCATTAAAGCCTATAAAGCAATGTGAGCCACAGCATGAAGAACCTGGTAGGGCATAGGCTAGTGACCAAACTCCAGTCTGCCAATTTAAAACGTTTAATAAAATGTGTTCAAATAAAACAGCGGATTGTACAGAACGTCTATCTTGTCAAATCAGAATAAAGAAAAGAGTAGCCATGTTGGCTCACCGTAGAAGTGGAGGGAACCTTTTGATGCCCACACGTTTGTAGTCACAAAGCAGACCAAAAGAAAAGATCAATGGTGTTGTATACTATAAACTGGCCTCTTTTCATGCGCGCTCTCGCCAAACTGAATACAAATGCCCCTCCTTTACCCGGGCGCTCAGTCACTTTAACAGACGCATTGTGTGATGGATCAGGCAAAAGCAAGAATAGTTGGGCAGTGGTTTCCCCAGCGTGGTCGCGTGTCTTTCAAATGGCACGACCGTCTAAACTAAATGTTCTGGCTTTACTTCATACTCAACCAACCCCAAATCCTACACATATAGAGTAAAATGTATACCATGAACCCCTTTACTTTACCAGAATGGCTACATTCTAGCAATCCATATGTGGATGTCAATTGAACACAATTCACCCCCATTTACTGTTTGCAGGTGGCCTGTGTGAGAGCACAAGATGCGCAGTGGACTGCAGTGAACTATAGTCAATACATTGTTTCAGCTGGGATGACTTTCCCAAGCCTGCGCTCCTTTCAGAGAGCAGTGTGGAAAATCGGGAGGCGAGGGACCGAGGACAAGGGGCGGCGCGCGATTCTCCTCGGTGCCTCAGCTCGTCTGGTATGAAGACAAAAACTGGCAACACACAATAGTCTTAGATTCTTTAAGTAAAAAACTATTCCTTAAAATCTTCTTCACTTTACGAGGTTACATGTTTCGGGTCTGATGTGTATGAGCCAAACAGTAACTGCACAGTTTGCCTTCAAAAAGGAGTTTTAGCTGATGAAATAACATTGTGCAAGTGTAATACTTCTACAAGTGGCTACCAGAAAATCGAGATGTTGTGGGAACACGCCGGAAATTACCACGGTGCTGCCTTCAACCTGGTGGCGTGAAACTAGTATATAAAAGATTCTCTACAGGAGTCAACAGTGACCACACCATGCACACCAAGCAGAACCATTATGATTAGCCATTATGTCTATGATTTTACGGTTATCTTTAGTTTTTTGCCCCACACGTTGTTTCTTTGATCAAATCAAATCAAATCAAATCAAGGTTGATGTTTGCACTTCGCAGTAGTCTATATGCTTACCTAGATATGTGGTCTATATTTTTTAAGTAGACTCTTGTTTAAATGAACTCATAATGACCACGATAAAGGGGCAGCATACTTCATATCACAATGGGAAACTATCGTTTTTTGTTGAATACAATTAACTGAAGAAGCACATTTAGAAATCATTGTTGGTGATGTGGGTAGGTAAGATTAAAATTCCCAAAACAAACAGAAATATAACATATATTTTATACAGCATACGTTTGTTCACTTTTCTGTGGTGCGTCAAAGGCTTTGGTGTTGGCTGTCAAATGACGCCTGTGTTACTCATTTGAGCGCACGAGACAGGCGGGACTGTTTGCATTGAGATGTTAAGTGGGAGTCTCTATATAAATCCACTCAGGGTCAGCTCCTTCATTCGTGTGCCAAAGAGGGAAAGAGATTAACTTCAAGGAAACCAGACAAGGACTAACAGAATGGTGGCGACCACTGACTGCGAAAAGGCCAAACCTATCGCTGGAAACAAGGTGTGTAGGATAACTTCTTCAGAAGAATATGATTTAAGGGCAGACAAATAAATACCTATTACTTGTGTGTTATATGAAGTATTAATTTTCTCTTTTTGTATCCAGGTATCCAAACCACTTATGGAAAAAAAACGAAGAGCTCGCATCAACAGGTGTTTGGACCAGTTAAAATCTCTTCTGGAGAGCTACTACAGCAGTAATGTAAGTATGCACGTTGTAATTTGCCTCTTTTTTTTTTTTTTTTTACTTCGGACCAGTTTTGCAACGAAACCTTAATAATAATCATAATAATAATACATACATATTTTTATTGTTTCAGATTCGGAAGCGAAAATTGGAGAAGGCAGACATCTTGGAGCTTACTGTGAAACACTTAAGGAACCTCCAAAAGATCCAGAGCTGTAAGTTATAACCTCATGCTTAAGCCATCAAATATTCAAATACTTATTGTATGGATACAACGGATGAGCTTGACACAAGAATGACTGTGTTTCTTACCTTAACATATCTTTCCATTGTTTTCAGGCACTGCCGCTGCTTTAGACACTTCCGATTATCAAAGTGGTTTCCGCAGCTGCCTGGCAAATGTCAATCAATATTTTCTGATGGCAGACAAATTGAACGGGGGTAACCGCTGGATGTTATCGCAGGTCTCCAGTAAACTCTCCCGCTCTCAGGGAAGAGAGGGAGTGTTCAGCACCATGGACAGCGGCCCGGGCCCAGCAGAGACACAGGATGAAGCGCAGAGACTTCTTCCATCGGCAGCTGGACCTGAGGAGAGAAAAACCACCAACTATAAAGCCCTGAAACCCCTTATTGCAAGCACGTGTCCCGTTTTACCGAGTGAAGACGCACGGGCGTCATCTAGAACCGAACACACCGGCCTTGTTTCAGCGCCCACACACAATACTTCAGAGAAAAGTTCCAAGATGTCTCTCCCGGTCATTCACAGGAATGAAGTTTCAAACAGTCAGCACACTGTGTGGCGGCCTTGGTAGGGCTGTAGATCATAGCTTGATTTTATGTTGATAATTGCACTGTATAGATTACCACAATATATAGGTTATATGTTTTATTTTCTGAATAAAAGTGATTAAAGAAAGAATGTGTTGTCCTATTTTTTAAAACTGGTATATATTGCAAACTTCCATGTGATGAAGGCTCGTGCAGTAAAGCAGGTTTATATTTCTTGCCACTAATGTCTGATCAAGTCAAATGCAATTTTCTTAGAAAGAAAACAAAAGAGAACACTGGAGTAAAGAAGGGAGAGAGCAGGCCAACTGAAAGAAAAGGACACGAGCTTCAAACAGACGCATTTCTCGTTTTTTTATAGTCTATATTATGTGGACACGAGATACACTTGTATCTCACATTTATAAGTGTGAAATTAACATTTGATAAATTCATTAAGCCTAAAATAACATTGAAGTTGTGGTTTTAAACATTATACTTTTGCAATAAATATTATTTATTCACAATAAAGGTTAACATTACATTACATTACATTACATTTCATTTAGCTGACGCTTTTATCCAAAGCGACTTACAATTACCAATTACAGGGACATTCTCCCTGGAGTAACTAAGGGCTAAGTGCCTTACTCAAGGGCACACTAGTGGTGGTGTTCCAGGCTTTATAGCACTTTTTAACACTTTATAGCCAGTGTTAATATTTAAGTAATGCTTAACCAATGCATGTCTCGTGGTGATTTGATGATTCCTTATTGCAGGGTGCATCAAACATTTCTGCACGATTAATAAATGGTCAGGTCACGCAGACTTCATGTGATCAGTTTACACTACCAATTTAGGAATGCGAATGCTATCAAATAATTGATATGAGACCAAAATAGCTGCATTCCAGTTACATAACTATAGCCTTTATTTCCAGTCCACTATATTTTTTACGAATGTTACTTGTAAATTGAAAAACTTATAATTAGAAAAATAATGTGCCCTTTAAATATAATGTGCCATTTATAATAGTGTTTTATCTTTTTTTACTCAATCTCTCTGTCACAATCTACATTTCCCGTCTGTGGGACGAATAAAGGTATTCTGATTCTGATCATTTGTCAATTGGCACCTGTCATTTTGGTTTTAGTTCATGCCGTGCTACACTCCACTTACTGTATAAAAGGCTACTTTGATCACTTTTCATGGCTTAAAAGGCTGCTCGTGTAATTTTTCAAATTCAAACTGGTAAACTTGTTGTTTATTGTTATTATATGCGTTTGCTGTTGCAGAAAGAAGTGGAGAATAGGGTTAAAGAATTATGCATTTAAACCAGAATCATCTAGCAGGTGCCAATTCACAAAGGACTGGGAAAAGCGAAATATTTATATGAAAGTATTTTCTGTTCTTTGGCGGCATTCATTTAGCACTTCATATGAGTTATACCCTCATTAGAAATAACGCATAAATAATCACTTTTGGATTCCACATATAGAGAAAAAAGTTCCAGGAGGTTTCACTGTCATTTCTTCCTTTCTTCTCTTGTGTCACACATAAGTACCGAAACAGTGGCGGGCAAATCAGATGCTTGTCAGACAGCACCACCATTTTCTGCTACAGGCTCCTAATTACACGCCATGCTGTCTTCTCCTTCTCCACTGCACGCTGCATGCCAACTATTATTTAAGGAGAGGAAACAAACTATATGCAATTGATATTCCTACACGAAATTGAAATTAAATCTCCGTCTTTTTAATGAAATTTAGAAAAGCTTTACACAATCTACAAGCCCCAGTTGCCTTATTATTAGGCGGCTGATGGTTAATTGTAGTAGCAGAACCAATTCATAAAATGTAATAGTTATCATTCGTCTGAAAAATAATCTTTCCCTCCTATTCCAAGTCAGGTTAGCAAATGTTGAATGTCTTCTTAATGTATATTAACCGACAAACTACTCTGCAATGTCTCAAGTTAACTATAGGCCAGGGAACCTTACTAAAGTTAATGAAATGAGAAATTACGAGTAGCTATAGGTATAGGGCAACTTCTTAGATAAAGCATGAATGTGTTTTATATGTTTGGTAAAGTAGTAGTAGCCTAGTATAGGCGTGTTGTAAAACTATGTCTGAAGTAGTATTACTGTAGGCTACGAAGGCTATAGTGTGTTCGGTAGGCTACTATAATACATGCAAGAGCAGCCATTTGTAGCACTACACTAATTGCAATTATACTGTTGGGCTGTAAGCCATCTGAACACAGCGAACCTGTCCATCAGTTAGTGCTTTTCAAGGGCCCTATAGTTTTCTTCCGCTGCTTTGGCAGGGATGTCATAAAGTGTCTCTCCATTCTTTAAGAGCATCGCTGGAGAGGATGGCACCCTTACAGCGAGGAGAATCGCTGAAACGCCCTAAGCTTTTCAGATGGTAGGCTACATGCTGAAAAGACACTCCTAACCGGGGACAGAGGCTGCTCCAGTGCAGTCCTCGTGACATAAAATAGTTACCGTCTGGTTAAAGTTTTCCCTGCAAAATAACATCTAAACTCGCAGCGTCAAGCCTCCTTATGGCGAGTATTTGTTATTCCAGCTTTTTGTTTGGTCTGCTCGCCTCATAAACCCCGTCTGTAAATCTTCTTAATACTCTCTTCCCACAAAGTCAAAGCTATTCTTTTGAGGAGACCAACAGAGGCTCATGGCTCAAGAAAAGTTTGTTTAAGCCAAGAAAGGGAATGCCACGTGACATCGACACTGAATGCCATTAAACTTTTTCTGAGTGTTTCTATGAACTCTTCTCGACATTGTTTAAGTAAGCTAGTTTGGTTTGCCACTATAATAGCGACGCACATTAGAGCTGAAAGCCGAATGGGGAGATAATGAGTTATTTGCATTAGACTGGGCCTAGTCAAGCGCTCTTAAGAGAGCAGACTTGGATGAAACGAGCTGCAGGCCCCTCTGTTCCCTGCTCATTTTGCTGGTCATTATGTCTCTGCCACGGCAGTTTCGGCACAACTGCAGCATACTCTCTCAAACAAACAGGGGTATAACTCGGTGCATCGTGCATTTAACAGCAACAGGCTATAGACAGAGCTTGCTTGTCCGTTATAGTTATTATCAGTCATGAGAAAGTAGAGAAATTACTATTGCAGAGGGAGGTGTTTACTGAGACATTTATCAAAGAAATTGTAATTTATTTGGAGGATTTCATTTATTTTCACAACAAACAAGTTTAGATTTTGTGACAAATCATTTCCATTATGGACGCTTCACGGCTGAAAAAGATTAGCAGAGGATGGTTTCGATCCATCGACCTCTGGGTTATGGGCCCAGCACGCTTCCGCTGCGCCACTCTGCTCCGACATGCTGTAGACGAATTGATGTTAATTATATCAAACATACACGTCAGCAATTGTTACTTAGACGGTTACCTTGTAGTTATAACTGTGCAAAATGGGTTAAAATGTTGCTTGTTGGAAGTATATTGCGGCGATCATTGGAGACTGATCGAGGGAACATTACGTAATGCATGGAGTTTGCTGCGCTGCCAGTAGGTGGGGCTATAACTTTGATTTAAAAATGGGCCTGCCGCCTGTGAGCATAAAGACCATAAACTATAAGACTGGGAGTGGGACCCTATAATGTTTACATTTTAAAGTGATGTGATCAACAATACAATACACAACCGTTTCTTTGTTCAAGACATAGACTTTTTGTACATCTCCAAGTGTTAGTCTACATAATCTACCAAATGCCATACCTGTAGATTAACCATTTCCCTGCATCCTTTATAAAGAAATATATAAAAGGCTTTAAATAAACGAAATGACCTCGCTTGAAGTTCATAAACCCCGTAACTTTAAATATATAGCCTACATAACAATGAGGCAGGCTACAAAGCTTTCTATACTTCAAGGAACGTTTCCAAATGAAACACAGGTTTATGTCACTATGACAACGACTTCATAATACCATCTGAAACTCTTTATGGTAAGTTATGATTATTAATCATTTCATTATCATAGGATTGAAGGACAAAACACTACACACTAGTTTTTTCAAAAGTCATCCGGGCTAAATGTGTGTTTATGTCTGAGTTTTAATTAAAGCTTGTTCATTTATTCATCTTTTTTCTTGTGGTGCCATGCAAATTGTAGAGACACTAAGTTTTGAGAGTATGCGATTTCCTTTTTGTATTCTTTCAAGATTCCTTCAAAATATCAAAAATATATCAAATGAAAACATACATAAATAATATGCAATTCAGCAAATGTCTTAAAACACACTGGTGCATCATCTTGTGAATTTATTCAGCCATATCTTTTTAATAAAGTCATCATCTGAACAAGAAAATCATGACATTTACATCATTCATTTTTTAGTCATAAATATTTTGATATGTTACAAAATGATATTTCAATATTGTAAACACAACAGAATGCAAAAATCTATGACATAGTAAAGCTTAACAGAGAAATGCAATGTTTTGCTTCCAAAGAAAGCACAAAACAATAATTCCTTCCGCTTGAAAAGGCTGAGGTGCACTAATACACAAGGATCAAAACTAAACATTTAAAAGATTGCAGATGGGTGAAAATGAATATGCCAAACGCGTGCCAATGTATAACTTGGATGGCAATGGCAAAATCATTGTAAAACCAAAAGGGTCATTTCAGTTTAATGTTGTCCTTATACTAATAATGTATTTGAAAACTTAAACCAAATACATTCATGTTAGCAGTTACCGTCCATTAGATGTGAAAGCTACAAGTTGGTTTCTGCTATCATTTGTAAGTAGTAAAGTTCTCACTTCCTTTAGTCAGCAAATTGTCATTTTGTGTTAACATGAGAAGTTTTCATCTAATTTAAAGTTCACTGCAGTGTCCTTTTTAAGTAAGAATTTGGGGACATTAGAGGGAGTTTAACTTGTCTTTTTGAATACTACTTTTGTCCTTGTCTTTTGATATGTTGCTATGATTTGAACAAATCTAAACGTACCTTTTCCTACAGCATCCCTTGCTAGAGGTTTGCAGATGCCATTTGATGTATTGTTATTAGGCATATTTCATGGGGCTTAGATAAATCAGGTTTTTAAAAGAAGTAACTTTACTGAAAGAAAACTCCCAGAATAGAACCATTCTTAATAAGATACTATATTAAATGTTATTTCTGGCCTTTTTTTAAACTTTAAAATTGCGTTCTATTTCCGAATCTATGTTCCTAATATTTGCCAACGTTCATGTTGGATAGGTACGACAACAGCATTTAAGTCATGCTACATATAAGCTTGAAGGCTGCAGTTAATCACATTTTTAACCATTCACATCTGTAGAGGTTCCCTCTTGGAAAGCTACTTTTAAAAATGAAATGAGTTTGGTGCTCTCTAACAACTTATACTGAAAACAAATAAGAGGTGAGGTCGTAACAAAGCACCTGCTTTATTGGTCTGATGTTTCATGTAAATATGCAAGACGTGAGAACCTGTTTTGATCTCCAGAGTTAACACAAACATCGGAATAATAAGAATTGGGAGAAAATGCTCTAAGCAAAGGTCTCATTAAACAAAACAAGAAAACACCAAAACCATAAATCCAACATCCTTCATATATACACACGACATGTCAATCTTCTTTCAAATCTGACTTCACCTTTTTATGAAAAATCAGGGGTCTTCACTTTATATCTCAATACCACACAGTTACTGTAAAACTATCAGGCATTACAGAGTTTGAGATTACCACTCTCAATTTACTTCAACAAAGGGGGCTTGAAAAAAGCTTTCATGTTTTGTGATAACAATGGTAATAGAAAGGTACATCATGATTCAAATAAAACAAACATGTATAATGTCCTGAAATTAATCTCAAGGTACATTGGCAATATTCCGGAAAGTTTGGTTTGAAAGGCAAATATGTCCATACAACAAAACACACAGCCATTACAGGCAAAGTTAAATACAGTTTGAGTTCAAGTTCTGAAGTGCAAAAAAAGCAGGGAAAAACTGCACTTAAAAACGACCTCCTCTAAATCATTGAGCAGTTCATAAGAAACATCGAACAGCAAAAACAAGGTGTGGCAATGTTCACGCTACTAAAAGTTTATTTGTGACAGTGCTTGAAAAAAAATGTGTCCTCAGTGGATATTTTGGGATGTGAGAGCTAAAGAACAGGAAACCCAATCTTTAACCCGATTAGCATTACCCATCAAGTTGTAATGTCCAAAGCCCATAAGGTCATTTAGAATAATAGATATTGATTCGGGGTATATATATATATATATTAAATCAGAATATTAGCACAAGTACAAATTAAAAAAAATCAATATGCCATTATCCCATAACCACCAAGATGTCAGTGGTTTTCATTGAGGAAACCATTTCGGTAATGATGTTGACATTAACAACTTTGCTCAGTTGGCTGAACCGACAGAATCAGAGCGAAAGGTGATGTATCCCGAGGACGATGCTGAAGGTGTGCTTACAAAACTGTTTGTGCTTCCTTTACTCTCGCCCTTGCTCAGGTGCTTTTGATGCCCCCAGTCAGCTCCAGCAGCCGCCCTGGCTCCCCCGCCTGTCCTGGGCCTACTGGACGACCCTGCAGTCTGTTGGATGCGCCCAGGTGAGCCCACCTCACAATGCGGTTTCCCGTCACGCGTGCGCTCCCTGCAGCCTTTTCCAGAGCCGCACGCCCCGGGGCTCTTCTTCCCAGCAGGCCTGTCTGCTCTGGGGGAAACCTGGGACGTGTTCTCCCGACTACTGCTCCTTTTGTGTTCTGAGAGCCGCCTGAGAGCTTGAGGCTCACACTCAAAGTCTGTGAGTAGGAACCGAGGGAGGATGACTGTGTGCTGGTCATACACATTGGGTATAAGTGAAATGCTGGATGCGCGCCGCGGGCTCTTTCTGGGGCTCGGCAGCGGAGTCTCATCTATAAAGTTGATCACCTCATCGCGGCTAAAACACCGCAGTTCGTCCTCATAGTGCTCCCCGCCTGCACAGACCACGCGGGGCAGGTGTTTGAGGGAGTGCATGCTGTCCTCAGAGCGTCGCCGCTTTCGATGAGGGTGATGGTGGTGGTGGCTCTCCTCGTGGTAGGAGACCAGGCTGCTCCTGCGCATCTCGCGGCGCGGTAAGGTGGAGCTGTAGTGGGTAGTCACTATCATGTCCTCGGTGGAGCCCCATCGATGAAGGTATGAGGGGATCCGGTCGCTGGTCCACATGTCGGTTTCGTCGTGGGAGTATCTTCTTGTAGGGGGCACCTGGACGCAACACACAAACAAAAGCCTTCAGTGTAAAAAGATTACTTTGCCATTATTTCACCAAAAGCACAGATAGTATGCTAAGCATTGTGGCACTGCTCAATAGATTAGTAGCATGTTATATAACGTCAAAGGTATATCCATACACCTAACTAATACATTAAAAATGATATAACATTTTTCAAGGTTATGTGGCCTTAAATGCCACTGGTATAAAGTAATAACACTAACTTGCAGTATTTTCCATGTAAATGTTTAGCTTGACAACATATATCACAAGTTAGTTTCAGAAATATTTATTCATTTGGCAACCTGATTCAGCTGTGGTGTTTGTTTAAAATCCTACATGCAGCACATATAAGATGTTAAGTGCAATATTTAAACCTTTTTTTTGTCAACAGCCTTATAACTGAACTAGTATTCACCTCCATTTCATGGAGATGCAACGGGGTGGTGTTTCTCTACACGTCATACTCACATTCCATTCTGTTCTGACAACTATGCAAGAGAGAGAGGGTTTGTCAAGGTGACGTCAAGAGCCACAAGATTGATATCAGCCTGCCCCCCTGTGGTGGGTTTTAGTAAATACAGAGAAGTGAGACAGCAGACGATACAGTAGCATTACGTGTGTTATGAGGGAGGGCCGAACAGCAGAGGGCAGCACAAGCATTAGAATGGATCAAGATGCAGGATGAGGAGGGACAGAGACTCACAATACACGCAAACCAAGCCAAAAGGTCTTTATTCTGCAATCAAATCACTTGAGAAGTGCCATAACAATTCTCAAATGGAAGTGTTACTTGTTAAGGATTTAAAGGGTTTGGTTGATTTATAGTCTAATTGGGCTATAATCTAACTAGTAGCAAGACAAAAATGTCGTTCTGTAACTGAAATAGAAAAATGCACATTTCTTTCACCATCACACACACGTACAGTAAGGAAAAACACATCTATATATCACTACAATCAAATGAATCTACTGTCATATGATGATAGGACACAAAACAATGGATGGAGTAATGATGTGGTCTGATGAAATGATAGCTACTGTATACATCTCTGTTTCAAGGCTTTGTAAAAAGTCAAATTGAATAAAGATCCATTCTGTAGAATCAATGGTTTTTGAAAAGTCCATTATAATGTTGGACATTTGGGGTTTAACAAATTACATGTTTATTTTTAAGAAGTAAATTATTCACGTATATGAACTGAAAAACTTTTGTTAAGTCGTTTCTGACAAAGATGACACAGTGTTAAGATGCTTGGTAAAAGTTAATATTGTGTGGGTTACATATCATCATCACAGCCTTCCAGGTCAATTTGAGCAAGATTTATCATCATTGTCACGGCATTAATCAATCATTGTTATAAATATTGATCCACTATCAGATATTGGGCCAGAATTTGGAGTTTAAAGGTGAGTCAGTTTTGATGAAATGTCCTAGAAGGCTGCATGTTAGAACAAACGCTTATTTGTTAAATGCAGACTGAAAAGGAGTATTTCACAACTCTGCATCTGACTGGGATGGAGGCTGGATCCAATGGACACAATGCTTTGGGTAAAACATGAGCAAATGTTTATAGTTCTTTCATGAAACCTTTAGGGATTCCTGGAATGTAGAAGGTAAGTCAGTTATTAAACTCTTACCCTCTCACAAAATAAAACAGTTGTAAAAAAGGGGGCCATGGCTAGGGCACACAAGTCAATAAATGAAGCACACCTATCATGTTGATGGGACTACTGATGGTCATATTTACCAAACATAAGTCAGCCAGAGTGTATTTTAGAATCACGAAAAAAGACAAAAAAATATCTGTAACAAATGTCTGATGATTCCAGAAAATTCAAGCAAGTTACTGTTAAGGCAAACAAGGCCATTTTCACCATGCACAGTGTTATTTAATAATAGTTCAATTGATCAAGTAAAAGAAATGAAGAAAATTAATAAAAAATATACCTGCAAATACTGCATTTTATCTTCCTGTTGTTCCCTCAATGGATACCCATGCGGAACCCCCCTTTCTAAGGTTGAGAACTCAAACATGGCATTACGGTCTACCGTCACGATTTCAGGCGGCGAGCTATAGTCATATGGTCTGTCATATATTAAGTCGGCATGAATTCCTCCATCTTGGCTGTTTTCTGCAAAGTGCAGAAAAGCACGAGCGTCAGGATTAGAGAGCAACGAACTCAATACACAAGACAGACAGACAGACAGACGGATAGATAAGAGAGACAAGGTCAATTGTTCTCCGATTTGTTGGGTTAGCCTACGGATCTGCTTTGGAATAGGAGGAAAATATATTTTCTTTAAAAAAAAAAAAAGGACCAATTTCAGTAGTAAGGGGATTAAAAAAAAAACCCAGATTGGTTCTGAATTCAAAAACCATGGCACATAGTTGAATAAATCTTCTTTGAGTGTACAGGGCTTATTCCCCGAACAACATAATCAAACAATTTACAATGTTCTTGGTGTAAAGATACCCACATACCAAGTTTATTTTCCCAATTACTGCATTTATGTTCATTAAAGATCAATTGGAGATGGGTGCAAAATGCTGATTTTGAGGGAAATGTTGGCCAAAAAGATGAAAGATGAAAGTAGCTATTTGCACAGGCAGCTGGCATGCAAGTCAGTAGCTTTGGGAAAAACAGGAAACAATCCTTATACATACAACTGGGATGAGTTATACATGGCAAGCCCTCTGGAAAAAAAAAGCAGAGAACTGGCAGTGTTAATTATCCAACAGAATATGGCCTGCCCTGAGTTGAGTTATGACTCCTGCTGGGAAATGAGCAGTTTTGAGGGAGGACTTCGAAAGGACAGGATCAAAAGGTTTGGAGGGTTAGAAACAGGAGAGAAGGGGTTCAGATCGGGTTGAGATTAAACAGTGCCAATAGAAGAAAAAGACAGAGGAATCATACTGTCATTAATGTGAATGAATTGTGGAGATCTGTTCATGGTCAAAGTCCACAAGTCTTTTTTATGATTATCATGTGACCTCATTTTGGGACCAAATGTTGCTGAAGTGTCTGTTATTCCTTGGGGAAATGTTACATTGTAAGCCCCCTTGGAATTAATCTATATTTCTGTGATGACAGACGTGTTGGAATACTCTCTTTCTGCTTTTATTTACAATCTGATACTGACATTTACTTAGTGCAGTTTGATTCAGACTTCTACCTTAATACATACAAAAAAGAATACCATTTTGCTCTTTAAATCCCTATAATTAGACCAGCAGGTGGGAGTCCACATCAGACAAAGAGAAATGAATGGAAAAAACAAACCTATTTAAGTTGCGTTCCCGTAAAAACACCAGGGTGTAACCCTTTGTGACTTAAGGGAAATATGACCATCAAAGTGACATGAAAGTGCTTTCAAGTTTACTACAATTATTCCAGTCTTGCTCTGGATCCTAACAAATGAATGAGTAACAATGTATTTTATAATCCTCTCCTGCCAGGGCATTTTTAGAGGAAGATTGCCTAGTTTAAACACATAAACTAGGTGCGAGGTATATTTCCTTTGACCAGCATTTTTTGTTTTGGTAATGTACACAACACATACAAAACCACAAATAAATATATTTTAGTACACGTCACATAATAGATCACATGATAACATTTGACCGCTGATTTCAGACCTCTAACTTACACAATATAAAGTAAGTAATAATGATAATATTTTTCAAAACGCTTTATTTATAACTATTTATTTAAGAAACATGAAATGAAATCTATGGAATGCTGAAGGTGCTAGTAAAGTTTAAATATTGTCAATACATGCAATAAATTAATAGTAACCACAATTCTGCTCTCTAAAGACCGACTGTAAATGTAACTACTACAGTTATATTTGTGTATAATGCTGTGTTGTGATAGGCTACAGATATGCAACCATGCCATTTCCCACTGATGTAAAAAAAGTCACATCCTGGGATTTGATGGCATCAGTTACCTTCACACACTGAGAAAAAACCACCACAGAAGTGTGTTTTTCTTGTCACAAGTATTTGATGTTTAGTGGCTTAGATTAATTAAATTATTAAATGATGTAATTGTTGACCACTCTATATCTAAGTGTCTAATGCATGATATGTTATAATTCCTTAGAACTGTGAATCTCAAAAGTGACACCATACTGTACCTCAAGGATAGCAGGGGGATATCTGTTTTAAACTATAAATGTCTTAGCTTGTAGCCAACCATTTTGACCATCCTGCTATATTTCTGCCCTCAATTTCCACGCACAACTACTCCTGAGGCTAAGAGACAAAACTATTTAGGTTGATAAATCAAATTGGTCACTGTATTTCCTAAGGCCAAAGACAGTCCTAAACACTTCAACACAAACGACCTTCTATGTCCAAACCCTGAATTCAGAGAGACGTTTTTTACAGTCGCTCTGATTCTGTAAACTCAAGAACATTATCTGCAATTTAAACTTAAAAGGTCTATGAATTTGAAACACTGCAAGCATACCCAATTATCTTTAGAGCCACCTTGGACTTTGTGCACAAACTATTCTTTAACCAGCTTTTACTAGTTCACACTGGGCTGTCTTAGTACATAGGAACCATCATCCATATTCACGCGGGAAGGAAAAAGGAGGCGGGACAGGAGGGGGACGTCTGACGGTGTCTTACCCTCATCCACGTCGTCGTTTGACATGATGGCGACACACTTCTCCCACACCATGCGAATGTCGGCGCGATAGCGGTCACAAGCCCAGATGAACATGGGCAGCAGGATGGATTGGGCGATGGAGCACCACAGCACACACAACACCATCCAGTTGTAGGAGCGGTCAAACTTCAGACTGGCAAAGCTCACCACCTGGGAAGGGTAAGGAACAGGTTAATAAAATATTATCAGCAAGTATAGCCAGTACAGCTATTCTTTATTAAATGTGGGACACAGTTCGTGTATTGACTTCTACTCGCATGTACCAATTTATACTATTCGGATTGTGCTCGGGTTCCAGGTGAAAATTGGTGTATTTATCAATAATAATCTCAACAATCATGCAGTGGTGAGTTGAGTACAGACTATGAAACACATTTTAATCAACAAATCTTCCACAGACATATAATCTGCTATAGAAAAGATTATAGTTTAGATCCAACCTGATATAACCTTACACGTTGTTTAGTGAAAGGTCTGCTTTGTCTCCATTAAAACCTATTGTTTTCTAATATCAAGCTACTGTATATGGCATTTGGCACAATGTTGCAGAGTGTCTATTGAGAGTAGGCCTTAAAAGGTATTTAAGGAAACTGATATTGCCATTCTTATGTTGATTGCAACATATATGGAGGCGTGTGGTGCAGTGGGTTGTGTGTTGGTTTTCGGATCAGGTGGTCACAGGTTCAAACCCCACTGCAGTCAGCATATCGTTGTGTCCCTGGGCAAGACACTTCACCCCAAATTGCTCCTGTGGGGATTGTCCACAGTATTGAGTATGTAAGTCGCTTTGGATAAAAGCGTCTAACAAGTAACATGTAATGTAATATATTGCAATGTGAAAAAAACCCAAGTTAAGGAATTGAAGGCAGAAAACACGCATTTAGCAAAATGTTACCAGGAAACCAACATTTGAAACACATGTTTTTAAATTGTTCCAACCAGAAAATAGATGTGGTAACCTTTTTTCAGCATGACCTGAAGGATGAGCCTATTCAGATCATGACCCATATTACGTCCTCTGAGAGGTGGCTCTTGCATGTTCTGACATTGTGATGCCTAATTGAGAGAGCATAATAATCAGCATGATCCCTCTGATCCAGTATCTTTTGAGGACAGTAAATGTGGCAGGCCAGAGCTTTGGTTTTAACCAATCGTACAGGTAGCCTCGATGTACTGATCGTCACTTAAAAAGTCACCTGAGTTTTAAGTGTGATCAAGTCGTTTGATTTCGAATGAAAATTGTGATATTCATTTATTTCATCTCTGCACTCAGCTACTGAACTGCTCCGTGCAAAACCAACCTCGCTAACATTTTAAGATGTCCGGCCTGAGACTGAGTTGCACCAGGTCGCTCCAATCCACACTAATTAAGACAGTCGGGGGAACCTGATCTCAGTCAGGGCACAACCCTTTTTAAAAACAAGCATTAGAGCTAGGATCTCCCCGAGTGAAGCAACAGAGTGCATCATCTGATTATTAAAGTTGTCAGGTTCAGAGTGTAATCCTCATCGCTAATGCACCGGGCCAAGACACTGATCAGATTGATTAACTCAAACTCGTCATCTGGGATGTCACCTCCTCACACTGAACAGCAGCAGCTTCACTAGATCACTTGATGAAGTTGTGAAGTCTCAATCTGATATTGATCGTGTTCGCCTACTGAGCTGACCCAATGTAAAACTGCAAGGTAAACTTAAGACAGTGAAGAAAGACACTGAAGGAAAACACAGTTCTCTTCCCCATCAGAACACATCACATTCTGATTTTTAACACACTGTCAGACAGAGAGCATCGCAACAAAACCCTAATTCTGGAACCAAAAAAATGGGATGGTTTCATTGCATTATGAGGAAAATGTAGGTTTATTACCTGGATTATAAAAGGACCTTTCATAAAAACAACTAATTATTCTCAAAAAGAGAAAAGATAGATTTAGCTGAAAGCTTATCTCCACCTGCGGTCCCTGGACAGGCACACCTGGAATCAACAGATGCTAAAACATTAATGTACACGTTGAGTGATGCTGTTGCAGCTACTGTATTCTTCCACTAATATGTGCTTATTTTGTCCTTCACAAAAGTAATATGTTTTTATAATTCGTTTTGTGAGTTTGAACCTTTCAGTAAAAACTCTTAAAGCCCATTCATTGATTACAGGATATTTAACAGAGTGACAACCAATGACTTGTATGATCTTTGCTAATGTGACTACTCCTGCTCCTGTAGAAGTTATATACCGAGTGTTGCATAAGTAGAATCTCTTAGATTAAGCTACGATGGCTTTTTTTTATTTTAGAAAGAAAAGCTATCACTATTATGTATTAAATGCTGTGGTTTGAGGCAGTATATTAACTTGCAGGCCGGCTCTTGAGTATAGTCTAGTTTATATTTGTAGCACCTATAATGTGGTGATTCTGTTCTGTTCATATATCTTTGTGTCAGTAATGCTCTTGTTTCCATGCATTTAAATAGCTCATTACATCGGGTCACAAAGACGGCTGGCAGAACTTTAGTTGTTTCTGTCACTGCACTGGAACGAGTCAGCACTACACTCCCCTCTCTGCTATGCACACATACTGAAACATGATAGGATGTTTATGCTAAAATGATACAGCACTGTCTTCTCAAATCATCTTCCAGCTTGTGAAGCCACAAGAATACGGTTTCCCCTCTGATACTAAACATCTCAGTATAGAGTTGTGATGTTGTTTAACCTTACAAGTACAAGTATTGGAACGCATAGCAATAAAGCAGCACACAACCATAACAAGAATGATATTCCGAAATTTCTAGTACTTCTGTTTTGTCGTACACTGAAAAAATACCAGTTATTTTTTTGTAAACATCGGCAGCTGTGGTGCCAAAGACCTTTGAGCTCTCAGTGCTGAGTAATTGCTCAAGGATTTAATCATTAAGAGATCATTCAGACTCTACACCTTTATTCAAATATCTCTTTGATGCTAACTCTGACATGATACCATATCTGCTGCAAAATCCCAGCGAGGACCCTCGGTGTTCCTTACTGTATGGCAAAATATTATTTCAGATTTTTTTTTGTGTGTTTTAATGTTGAGGAGTAGCAAAAGGTAATGCAACAGTAAGATGCTCTGATGTAAGTTGTAGACACACTGAGCACAAAACAGCATTGTAAAGTGTATTCCAAGTAATAATGCTTTTTTTCTGTGCATCTTTAAAGCAGTGTTATGTTGTGGTGCAATGTAATTACCACTCTAATAGCCGATTTCCTTTGAGGTTTGGGATTGGATCCAAGAACATCAGGGATGTAAAGTGTTTCTGCTAAATTGATGCTGGAATTGATGCATCATTTACGACCGTGGCAATTAAGAACACCAACATATTTCTCTGTGATTATGCGGTGATCTTCCTGTGTGCTTCAGATTTGAGCATTAAAGGCAGATAGTGATGCTTTGTGCAAAGCTTCTTCAGAGGCTCTTCTCTGGTGTACAACATATCATTAAAAAGGTGTGTCAAAGTGACTAACAGATGGCTTGTACAAATGAGAAGAGAAGTAAGGTAACGCATTATACATAAACGGATGCTTTGACGCCCATGATGTTCCCCCACTTTTAAGTAGGGTGAATAAAAACTGTATACAAGGTCAATCTCACAAAAACATTATTACCATTCAAACAGACACATGCATGTTGATATTAGGATTTTATATCAATATTTAACGAACCCCTACTTGCTGTTCAAGAATGCCGACTGTAGACTGCGATAAAAAGTTACATTCCCTAATGCAAACACATGGCTCAACCCTGTTGCCTTGCTTTTAAGAGGACAGGATGGCTGGTTTAGCTGCATCACAAGTAACACACCTTCCACAGGCTCTCAGGTCTGCATAGACGACCAAATACTTTATTTGTTAAAGAAAATGGTGCCACATTGCAACAGACCTCACTCCGTCAACCACTGAAAATGTACTTGAGGGATACGTTTCTCTCAATAAAGGAAAGCAGAGGTGTGTGACACTGTTTTAAAGCCTAGAGTTCCCTGAAACCAAACAGAGGGAAGGTGATTCGATTGATTAACTGTGACCTGTAGCTGGCTCTTCTTCACACAATACGTGACAGGCGAGATAAATTACACGGTCGGATCTTTCTTATTGTGTTGGTTGATAATTTATTTTTATATTGATTATTTTTATATTGATTATTAAGTTTGTTAATTTTCCCATTATATTTGCATTCAATTTAGTATTTTCTTGCGTCAAATGAAACCAGAAAGGAGATATGTTTCTTTCTTGAATATGCTGCAACTTAGGAATCAAGAGAAAAACATTTTTAAATGTGCTTTTTGATATTAATGTGCAGAATAGCAATTGAAAGTAATGGAAAGACCTCCAAACAGGCAGGCAGTGTTGTTTAACAATTTGTATGTGCTTTATATTTTAAAGATCAGTAGGGACTAGTTTTTCAGAAAAACTGCCTATTTCTGCGAGTGACATGAGAGGTGCAATTCGGGGCTCTGTGAACTCTAGACATTTTACAAAACACTGATGAGTGCCAAACCTTATAACAGTTTTTCTTTTAGAGCAGCTCCATTATTAACTGCAATATGTGTAGCTAGTTAACTTACCAGTATAGGGAAGCCAGTCAGGAAGTCGTAGATAAAGACGATTCCACTGATCAGGTAGGTGATCTGCAGGGACGTCTTGAGAGGCTCCGATCCATCGATGGACGACCTGCGCTTCCCCTGGGCGTCCTCCACTACTATGGTGGGGACGTTGAACTTGTTCTTGTCAGCCTTGTGGCCCGCCTGAATTGAAAAGGTCTGAAAGAGAGCGATGCCGATGCAGATCACACCCATGGCCACGCTGCCTCCGATCAGCAGCAGAAAGCACACGCCGAAGCCCAGACCGATCTCCGTCACGATGAATCTGCAGTCGGAGGTGTAGAAGCGGTCGATGGTGTCGTGCCAGCCCACAGCTGGAAGCGTGGACAGGATGAAGGAGACCATCCAGATGCCCATCACTGTGTGCACCGCCTGCTTCTTGGTGTTACTCAACCTGGAAGCAGAACCAAGGTTTTAACCTGTTAAGCCCTGAACCTGTTTTTCAGGTCTCAGGCTCGAAAATGACATTCCCAGAACAAATGACCATAACTTCACTTCTAAAAAGGGGTAAATTAATCCTCTTTTTTCTCAAAGCAATGATAAACCTGTGAGTTGGATGTAGAAGAGTCAGAATCAATATAGAATTTTTTTATTTTAAAGTAAATTCAGATTGAACATAGTAAAAAATGTAAATTATTGTGTCCGTCCAAAAGAATAAACGGTACTTATAGTGAAAACCACCCTTGAATGATGGGATAGTAGACTAAAAGCTTTAGGAATCCAAACTATAACATATAATAAGTACCCTGTATCAAGATTGATGCAAAACAAGTGAAATTTGACATTTTTACAGAGGTTTAGCACAAAAAAAACACCTCTGGGGTCATTTGGGTGGATTTGCCATATCTCTGGCCCCCCTCGGTCGATTTTGATGATTGACACCACTTTTGAACCGTAAGAGCCAATAGAATCGAGGGGAAGTTCCTAAATCCATCTAAACATTTCCATTGAGGAGTGAGAGTGATGCGCAAGCAGTTTGCCAAAAACCGGAAGCTAGGTTGTAGCTCTGATAGCAGCTAATATTAAGTCTCCGTTTTTGAGGGATTTGACAAAAATGGAATGATGGATTATCAGTAATCATTTCAAAGTGACACAGACACATTGGATTAACCTTCAGCAGCGTTTTTCTCGTCTTAATGCCATGGAACATAACTTTTGATCAGAAAAACAGCAAAGGTAAGACATTTGCCGTTTTGGCTCAGTAAAGCTACGCTGTGTGTCGTCTGGGTTTGCCTGAGCTGCCGCAAGTGTTGGTCGCACAGTGATGATACATATACCGCTAGAATCTGTGGAATCTCAGCTTTAATCTGATATCTTGTTTGTGCAGATCCGATAAGTAATAAAGTATTTCTACCGTGAGTTCTGTGCTAAGTGCGTTAGCATTTCTTCGCTCGGGGTTAATTCAGAGGCTCTGCGTTAGACTGTTTGGGTAAAAATGGTTCATATCATCAGGTAGCTGGGTTTCTTCCCGTTAAGTGGGTATGACGCATTCATAGTTTGTTAAATGTTAAGAAGCCCTCAGACGCTGTTTCTTGCAAGATGTTGCAGGAGGCTCCCGGGGTTAACAGGTTAAAGGTCACCTATTATGCTAAATCCACTTGTTCATGTATTTTATGTCCTCCCCTCTGTGTAAAGAGATTCTGAAAGTTTCAGGAAAAAAGATTCTCTCTCTTTTTGTCCTGATCCATTTATATAAAAACCCATCTGAAAATGAGCTGATCTGATTTTGGCCACTTTATGATGTCATAATGTTTTTTTGGCTTGTGTAACCATTAGCCAATCACCAACCAAGGAAACACCCGCCCACCTTATCACCTGAATCTCCTCCTAGAGCACCATTGTGTTTTTTTTAACCAAATATCTCTCAGAGGGGCGTGGGGAGGGGCTCCTTATTTTCATCTAAAGTAACAGACAGAGAATCAGCACTTTTGAAACAGAGTTGAAACAGAGGGGTTTATGGGATGCTACAATGGGTGATATGTTTGGAGTCTGGACATGTTTTGTATATATCTGAGACCTATAATATATTGATGAAAAACAGTATAATAGGGGACCTTTAACATAAAGTAAGTTGAACTGTTTTATGGCCTTCAAGTGAAATGGGCTTTAGCTTTGGAGTGTTAAAACTGGTGGACCTTGACTCGCATGCAGGTGGATCTGAGCAGCCATGCTACTACTTCTGTTAGGAACTTTAACACAATTATCCAAGTGCTTTGACAACTACAGTAATCCGAAAAGTACTAAAATGTTTCAAAACTCTCAGTATTTTTGCATATAATAAATCCAAGAGGCACTAATGAGAGGTCTGACAGTACATTTCGATTTTATATGGAGGAGGCTGATAGCGATAAACTATGTCTGGAAAAGTACGTGGAAAGAACCTTTATAAAATACAGCGTAAATGTAGCAGATCTGCACCTGGGACACATGAGCTGAAAAAGCACTACCCCGCACAGTCATCACTTAGATAAACTGCAGTTGAATGAAGGAAATGTATGCTTTGCTGATCGCAAAAGATTGCTTTCCACATCCCTCGGTCTATTTGTCATCTAGGTCTATTTCAGAGCGAGGGGATTTCCATTTCCTCTCACCTCCAAGCAATTCTCTGAATGTGTTTGTGTCCTCTGGCGGTGAGGCACTTTTCAAGGTAGGTTTGCAACAGCATATGTACATCTCAAAATATGGCAGGCAGTTACTGGTGTTTCTCATTTCCCAAACTCTATGATACACTGTGCTATCCTACCGAAACATTTGCCGCTAAAGCAATGCTGAGCTGTTCAAGGCTTCAGCTACAAATCACGCAAAGAGGCTAATCATTTTCTTGGCTTACACAATGCATAGAGACAGTCTTCAGTTACTTGGCTTGTGTAACTTTTTTATTTTATCATCACTTCAGTCCAGTATCTATAAATTGCCTTTAAGATTGGATATATAAGAAGGTAGATGTATATAAATGTATCTCTGCTGCTTTATTTATGTTGGGAAGGAATACAGTAAATTGTCTGTTAAGTGTCAAGGAGCAGTTTTGGCAGGAAACCCAATCCGTCTCCCTCTTAAGAAAGCCAAAGCACATGGCGCCTATCCTCTTGTTCCTCTCAATAAAGTCCTTAGGAGGATTAGCCTACTGGCTGGTTATAGAGTGTACCTCCTCACAAACCAAATGACACAAAAATATATTTAAAATCTTCAATATTTTTGATCAAATAATACAATGTTGTATTGTTTAGCATTGGTTCTTTCCCAGAATACTACAAGGAGATTTCTTAAGTGGGTAAAGGCAAATAGAAAATTCTGGTAAGTTGATAAGAGCACTTTACTGTAATGCACCCTATGAAACCAGGAAAAGACAGCTCTGCCATATTAGGTTATTACATTATTAAATATCTAAGACAATATACAGTATAATCTCATATCATATACTGCCCATCATCAGCCTTAATAATAATGCATGAGCTCACGTTGACTGACATAATGAGTGGCACAGAGGGGGCAGCAGTAGCCTCTATCTTTACACTATGGCTCTGGCAGGGATGACTATGTCTTGCTGTCACTGTGAGTAATTATCCTAGCCTTTCCTGAATGTGCCTTGGGTACATATGATGGAGAAGTTATGTCACCAAGCTGCTTGAATCTATTACCAGAGAGAGAGAGAGAGCTTTGCGAAGGAAAAAGCTCCTAAGAGATAGTGAGCGCAGGATGATGAGAACAGCTGCGAACGTACAAGGTTGGAATTCATAATTCAGGCCTCTGGTGCGTGTTAATGTTTGAGACGAGGCAGCTATGCTACCTCAGCAGGGCAAACGTTGAACAATTTAAATGAAAGATGAACAGCAATTACGCGGCGCATCGCCCGAGCTATCACTCCACCGGAGCATTGTCAAAAGTGACTTAGAAACAGGGAGAGGAGCTGCTGAGAGGAAAGTCAATGCTTCCAGACAGGAGATGAGAGAGAACATCGTCGTATGAGAGAGAGATAAAAGCATTTGAGTATAGCCGGGTATCTCTGTGTGGGCATCAGCCAATAATGACAGCTGCTCAAGCAACATAGATAGCAAGACTGAGCATAGATTTAAAAGGAAGTTTGCATTTCTTACTTGAGCGTGTGCTTATCTGCAAATTTGGCCATGCTTAATGTAGGTCGAGCATCTGCACGCCTGGTGCCACAGGAAGCAAAATCAATGTTTGTTCTTTAGAAGAGGAGGAAGAGTGAGGAAACCAAATTCTGATCTTTACCACACATACCACAGAATGTGTTTATGCACCATTTCAATAACCCAATTTGGTAACTGATTTGATGTATTTTCCACCTGCGAGTGTTTTAGCTATAAATGCCCTTAAGCTGCAAATTATAAATTTCCGTATTGATTATTGAATGTGATTGTGGATCCTATGAGACGAAGATAATTGCTGCTTCTTAATAATCCTCAGAGCAGGTTATGCTAAAGCAGCTCTTGTGCATCCCTTGGTACAGACAGAAATAGCATCAAAACCTTTTTTCAAAGGCGGCAGTGGTGTTGCTCAGAACATCTGATTTCGTGTGAACAGCAGATGTCTTGGGAGTCTTACAAAACAAAGATGGTGTTACTGCAGCAGTGTGCAGACTGTGAGGTGAACCTTATTTTTATTATTCAGTGTTGCTTAATAATATCACTTGTTGTGAGGAGCCTAAAGAAGCAACATCTAGAGCTGGCAGATGCTCAGTCTGGAGGGTTTTACACAGTGTTACCCTAAATAACTGCAACCAGCAGATGTGTTTCACCTGATGCTGAGCATAACTCTCAAAAATTGAGGTAAACAGGGTGACACTAATCTGAACTGCGTCCCTATCCCATCCGGGGGATCTGCTCAGAAATGCAGCTTAAAATGTCCGAATGTTGTCTTGCGACGGCAACTGCGGCTTTGGCAGATGTTTTTGGAAAGGCTTGCAAAAGGTTACAGTTACTAATGTCTTATTAATTTATTTTACAGAAAAAGTCAAAATAGCATAGCTTTAGAGAAATCTATAAAAATGTATCTACAGTATTTAGGTTATAGAAAAACATAGATTGATGTTATTTTGCTTATACTAACAGAGTAGAGGGTGCTCTCCTTTAATTACAACTAAAGCGAATTTTCTCAAATCTGGTCATAGAGAGAATCCACAGATCACACATCACAGTTTTCATGGCAACTATTTCTCAGCAGGAAAGTAATCCAATAAGATTGTAAGACATTGTGTTGGGAACGAAATGTCCCTGTGGAATTTTTTATAAAACGTATAATGCAAGAGCTCCACAAACCATCTCCAAGAGGGACACCTCAACATCTGAATATAGACAAATTACATATGTTGAACAACAGACTTGAGCATCTCACCTGTAGTTTACAGGCCAGCGTACCATCCACATGCGGTGATAAGAGAGCGAGGTGACGGAGAAGCAGGTGACCAATGTGAGGGTGTAGAAGGTAGAGACAAACACCTTGCACAGACCCTCGTTCCACTCGTAGTTGGAGTGCTGGCGTCGCAGCGTGATGACACAGTACATGGTGATGGGGATGGCCATGTTGAGGATGTGCGTCCCGGCCAGCGTGCAGATGAGGAACTCCAGCGGCTTCCACTTTTTCTGCTTGGCACTGACGCTAAGGATGCTCCATGTGTTGGCCAAGATGGACAATCCCGAGCATACCAGCCATGCCAGCGTGTTGGCGTTAATGACGTCATCCTTCATGGTGGTGACCTCATCCACCATGTTGGAGCGGGGCAGGGCGGAGCCTGGGGGCCCTCAAGGAACTGTTGGCAAGAGCAGGTAGACGCGAGGAGAAGGAGGAGGTGGTGATGGGCAGGAGGGGGTGCAGGCCGTCGGGCAGGGGAGGCATCCTATCTGGGTGGGCGTGCACTCTCCATGGGATGACCACAGCAGGGAGAGGGCGAGGTATTGGTGCGACGCAGAGGGATGTAAGAGGTGGGGGGGGGATCAAACAGCCGGGCCAGTTCCCTTACACGCCTGAGGCTGCAGAGGAAAAGAGAGATCACACATCGATCAGAGACCGAACATATAAGGAAAATATGGTCAGTCCATTTCAAAATGATCCATTACCCCAGTAAACTAATAGGGTTATATTAATCATAGTTTAAATATCACTGCTAATACTATTGCTGTTTATAGTGAGTGCATGTTGTTTATTTCATTTGATTAAGACAGAACAGTAATCTTTTGCTGAATGGGCATGTTCGAAACCAATGCATGTGATGCCACTAAATTATGAGTAATTCTACTGACACAAAAGTGAAGCTACGGCAAAGTGCTACAAAAAACCCAGAAACAATACAATGCAATCCTGTAGGATTGTCCTGCAAAAAAGAGTTACAAATTAATGAATCCAGTTGTCAATAAAAAAAAGAGACATCAGTTTAATAATAAATTAATTGTTGTTTGTCACTATATCGTAAGGTCCTACTGTCAACTTGTCACACCCCTATACGGAAAGGACATAAAATAACTGAATATTGTGCAATCATAGTCATCAGAAGAACACACACACAAAATAGCTTTTTTTTTAAGGCTGCTTTTCTATCATAACGCGGCTTCAGCCAGCTATGTTCAGAAGAGGATGACTTTGGTTCTCCCATTGTGGTGTGAAAAGTGCTTGGCACAGCTGGAGTGTGTTGTCACATCTATTTCCTGTCTGTTGGCTTGTCCAAACACTGATGTGCTGCTGGCAAGACCCCTGAGAGGGGACACTGGAAAGGAAAAAAAACACGTCATCATCACCCTGCTCCCAATTAAACTGATCTCACCCCTCCTCTCTCACTCCTGCCCACAATGGCAATCCAAACATCAGCTGGATGTTATGAAGCAGCATCGTTACTCTTTATACTGTGCTAGGTGTTACCATAAGAATCAGGAGGATACTCAATCACATCATGACATATTCTGTTGGGTCAAGATAAAAGCTGCACATTGATTCCAAAGAAATAATTTTACTACATCATACAGTACATCCGACAGATAGCAGTGTCTCATTCTAAGAAAGCAGAGAATAACTTAATGAACTGAGAACAAGAAACAGTATATTTTTACTTCCAATAACAACTCAAAAACACCTCACTTAGCTTAGGTTAAAGGTGTTTCTATTGGGGTGTTTCGACTGCCAAAACAGATTACCAACTAACCAACTAAATCTAAACAAGCTGACAAGTTCTCTAAATGTGATCGTGCCATGCATCAAGCGCAAAAATAGATTTGCGACTAATTACCACAAAGTGCTTGTATACCTCCGCCCACCAATCAAGTTGCATTTGACATCTTTATCTGTCCAACATGTCATCACGTCATTTTATCCTTTTACAATTTCGTGGGAAATTGTCAAGATAAATGTATGAATTCTTGCCAAATATGTGTTTTGTTAAGTCACAGTGACCTTGACCTTTGAGCAACAACATATTTGAGTCTAAGTGGAAGTTTGTGCCAAATTATAAGAACTTCCCTCAAAGCTCTCCTGAGATATCTGAGAATACATACAGACTAATTAACAGACAGAAAACCCTGAAAATACATTAGCTCAGGCCTCTGCGTTCGCGGCACTGCGGCTATAAAAAGATGATAACAAAGCCACATTTCACTATGGAGACAATCAAAGAAAACACACTGTGTTAAAAAGCATTATCACACCCTCACAAACCATTAAAAAAACATCTCAAACCAGGTTGGGATATAAAAAGAATGATTCATAGCTTTGATGGAGGAATCCCCGGGTTGTTGGGATGGACCGTTCTGCAGTCTGTGTGTTCACCGTGTACGGAAACTCTATCTAATCTGCTTTGTTCTTAGAAGCAACAAAGATAGATGCAGGTATGCTAGCCCAGTCAAAGAAGAACTATAGAATACAGTGAAGGATCAGTATCTTTCATTTATGAGAAATTAAGTTTATTCACAGTGAGAATTACCGTACAACAGAAAATGTATATGCAGTAAAAAATATATGCGACTGTCAGGAAGTCAGAGTTTCATTTCAACGCCTTTCTCTAGCGGTCTACAGCCTTTGTTGTTATTTCAAAAAACACAATTTCCAGTTCTCACATCTCTCTCAACCTCTGAATCACAGACAGCTGCTGCTAGTGTTACATCACCTGAGTTTTCTCTGTCGATTACCCCAACCCTCTTCCCCACAGAGGTGATGTGCTTTACTGTGACACCCTGACCCTTTTCTGTTATTGCATGTTCTGTATATGTTCTGTTCGGGTGAAATAACAATTCCCCTTTCCATCTATCCAGCTGTGCTTGTAATTTTCCAACGTAGGAAAAGAGCAGCAGAAAATGTACTCTAAGCACTTCTGCTTGGGGGACTCATGAGGCTCAAGAGGGACAATGGCAGCTTTCAATTAATACAAGCAATTGCAATAAAGGTCTAACAAGGTTATTCTGGGACATTTGCAAGCATCTGCAGTTGTTCTACCTCTGGGAACAGCTGGAGGTACCATGGAGATTTCAGACAAACAATATATGCGGGGTTTTCTTTCAGGGGATGTCAACCTTTTTCCAATGCCTTTTGTCTTTTCAAAGGTCTTGTTCTAGCCTTTACATATTGATGATCTACTTCAGATTATGTAATTATTCATTGTTTTCATATTCAGACATAAAATGTCTGAATATGACGTGCTTTATGTGTCACTGTATTTGATGACAGACTCCCCTGAGAATTCACAGATGACTTCCTGATGTCTGTGAGCATATTAATGCCAATGTTGATGCAGAGCATGAGCACAATGCTATAGCATCTTAAAAGTTCTGTTTGTGCATGTCTATGCTTGGTGAAATTGTTCATCATTCTGACTGAAATGCTATTAAGCCAGCCAGTGTCCTCAAGCAGCATCGAACCAGCCCAAACCTTGCAAGAAAAATAGAGTCAAAAGGCAACAACACAGTTTATCATGCCTACAATGTGGGTTAACTCTGCAACCCAAAGTGCAACACTAGCTTACATTTCAAATTAGATGTAGAAAATGTTATTTTAGGCTTTACTATTTAATTTTGCGTGTCAAAATGTAACTTTATATTTCACCTGTGTACGTTAGATGGAAAAAGCAATAAAGCTGGAACCTGAAACAAAAACCTTCCGAGATATACTAATCAACTAATAAACTGATAACACATTAACTCGCCATATCACGAGATAACAATGTTGATCATAATGTACAATATTCTGCAAAACCCTGGATAAGATCATTGAAGTGTTTTTTCTTCTGATGCTAACATTTTCAATAGGATATTTCTTTCTACCGACTCAGTAAAATCACTGAGATTTTGGGTTGAAATCAGGTTGAATAAAAATCTACTCTGTTATTATAAAGTATAAATTGCTGTAATGGTAGCGACGTTTTAGTGGCAGTATTAGAGTGAGTAGAGTGGTTGTAGCAGTGGCTTTATTTAACACATGTGACTGACGGGCTTCCTCACCAAGTTAGTGGAACAACAGCTCTATCACCCACAATCCCCTGAGCCTTGGAGCCAAATCTGTCCTCTACACAGGGGAAATCTGCACTGACAATTACGCACAGACTTTCTCTTTCTAACATCGAGATGTTGAATGTGACTAGAGTGGCACATATTGATCTAGGTGTTGATACTAGGAAGATTAGGAAACAGAAATGCGTCATGGAAGCATTACAATGCATTTTAATGATTACTCTTGTCATGTACTACATGATCTGTTTACATCCAGACGTGCACATTGCTTTATAGCAAAGGCACAGTAAGTTATACTGTACACATTTTGACCTGATAACATTTGGTATTGATCAGCTTTGGAATAACATATTCCAATTCTGAGACGTATGCCATCAAACAATGATTGTGTCTTTATCTATAATAGCTATGAAACCAACTAAAGCTTTGATCCAAATAAATTTGCTTTTTCTTACGAGCTTAAGAAATTAGCTCCAAAAAATAGAAATGATGCCTTTAGTTGTAAATGGTTCCCTTCCAACATCTATTTGATCAACAACAACAACTTGCCTCAGCTAGTTGTTTACCTGTATGTCCACAATGCTTACAACACGGTCCAAGTAAAGGTAACAAAATCAGTAGATAACGTACATATTAGGATAAAGGGGTTATTAATGTTTCTTTACTTTTGACCCAATGCAGAGTAGGGTATTTTCAAAACAGATTACTCGGCATTGCTTCTCTTATTTCTAGCACAGCATAAGGCATTCACTACCATAATGTATCTGTCGATGTAAACATAAAAGTCAGACGACCTGTTTGTACAGAAGCATTTAGAGAAATACCATTAGCATTGTGTAGGGTTGATGAACTGCTGTGTAGGGGAACTGTGCTTCTCTTCTCATGGGGAAAAACGGATTACTTTGCACAGTAGCTACATTTTGAACTGCTGTAAAAAAGGGGAATGGACACTTCTTTACTTTTTCATCCCAAACTATAATCTGCTGAGATACAGGGAGGAAGAGTACTTGGACATGATTTGGCAGGCAGAAAGATGGCTCTATCTGTTCCAACAAAGGCATACATGGATGAAAGTAAATGAGATCAGACCAATAATAACATGGAAACCTGTTCTAAGGAAGTGTTGGGTGTGGTACAGAGTGAAGCTGGAGTACATGTGAAATGCTGACCCACATCTCTCAGCTTTAAATTGGCAGGAGTTGGAGTGATCATTGTTTATAAGCTTCCTGCTGACAGGTGTGATGCATGGGGTCTTATTGCCCCCCCAGCCACTCCTCCCTGGAGCTGTCGGAGAGGAAAACACTCAATCCTGGGAGGCTGCACAGCTTTCCCCAGGACAATTCCTCAGTGTTTAATAGAACATCTCTGATGCGTACACATGACAGGTGCTTTCATTTGCACGTCAAGTCAGCAGGTAGGGCTTTTTTGCAGCAGTAGCACCTCGCTTCACATTTACAGTTACAAACACTCATGCTAGAGAGCAGCCCAAGTACAGCCCTCTACAGATTTGAGGGTTCAGTGTCTGATGCAGAGAATGTCAGGGT